TTTATTACGTTTTCGCAATGTGCAGTTACGTTTTATATATTATTTACTAAACAAACTTTTCATGTGCTTTTAACGTGTACTTTATTATATTTTTAACATATACAACTTTTTACTTTTTAACGTATCCAATTTATATATCATTGAGAAGGGGAAAAGGAGTTGTCGATATTCCTCGACATGTTTGACATTATTCATGTCTGGTATCTCGCTTTTGAAAATGTCGTTTCAATATTTTTAAGATATATACTTATTTTGATATATCAATTTCATATAAGAAGCATTGATAAATCAATATTATGTTATGTATAGTATTATTACTTGCGTTTTTTTATACGCCAATTCATTTTGCATGAAACAATATATAAGAAATATCACGTTAACAAGATGTATCACAAATTTTCATTATATATATGAGATTAGAAAAGATTATTTTTTTTCCAAAAAGAAAGAAATCTATTTAACTTTTAAATATGTTAAATCTTTGACTATATAAGTATGGACTGATAGTAATTAACTTCATACGTATTGCCAAGCTGGAAGATGTAGACTCAATCAGTAATTTTCTGCGGGGAGGGAGAAGGCTTCTGTGAAATCGTGTTTACGACGTGTAAAGGAAAGGTGCTGAGTCTGTTTTTAATTTCTTTCCGTCGATTTGAGATTTTTTCCGGCTCCCTATCAATTTTCAACATAACATTTAATACATTTTGACATATTTCACATTTTTTTACTGACTGGGGTGGAGTCTAAAAATCGAAGTTTGATACCACAATCAACTTCAACTCGGCGACATCGGGTATATGTCTTTTACATAGTAAAAGTGGGGAGACTAGCAGTCCATATTTATATAGTCAAAGTATTAAATATGTTAAATATCTAAATGTAATATGTCAATAATTGTTTTTTCCATACAATATTATAATATTAAAGGTATACACCATACATACGATATATGTATATGTATACAAAATAGCAGTTTTTCCCCAAATTTCCAGGCATATAATGAACAAATCCATGAAGTTCTCCGTTTTTATGAGCATACACGTGCATTAAAAGTTTTCACCCAAATCTTATTATCTTGTATTTTCGTATAAGATATAATTTACATATCTGTAAAAGATTTCGCATTTTTTTTCTGTCAGCTTTAGGGACAATTTGTATATTATTTTCATTAAATTTGATTATTTTTAACAAATTATGTACTCAATATTGCGCTATATGTACATTGTGTTATATTACATATTATGGAATATATAATCTAGATTATTTAAAAATACAAAAAATATAAAATATAGATTTTATAAAAATGTGTGTCTTTCAAGTATAACTGTATAGAATTTGATTTGTCAAATATGTGTTATTATTGTTACATAACTAGGAATTGCATTAAAAAGTTTAATTATTTCATTACATATTGAAATATGACTTTTATGATTTTTGGTTTACAAAATCAAATTTAAAAAAAAGATGTACATATATATTATGTGCAATTTTCCAATATTAGGAAAATTAACTAATTGCAAGATATTAATCATAATCATGTATGCAGTATACATCAGATGCAATTTTTAAAAATTTCTGCACGAATGTAATATTGATAATATATGTTAAATGTATGTGTTTTTGTATGTGTGTGGTGTATGTGGACACTTTACTATAATAAAAAAGTCGCTTTGCTCAAATATTTTCCTAGTATTATCGACACGTCTTCTACGAATTTACTGGCACACTTGTGAAAAACTCGATCTTTCGATGTCGATAATGGCGTTCTCATTATCTTTGCCTTCTTGTAATAAACATAAAAAAATTTTATCAGCAGTCTGTTAACGGACGAGGTCGCGCTTGAAAAGGAAAAATTCTTTGACACAATTTTAAAAATATTTTCGGGGCAAACGACCGGGTTGCGGATCACCGAATGCACCTTCATCTTTCGGGTGAAAAGCAGGTCAAGAAAGACTAGCAAGTTAGATCAAAGGACACGAGTACAAAGCTAATATCTCGAATGCATATCGTGCTCATGCCTCCGGCGGAGCAAGCGGCAACGTTTCGAGGAAATCGCGAACGGAAATTTCATCGTCACGAAATGCGAACAATATTCTCAGACATCGCTGCAGAACGGGAATAAGAGCCATCATATGCCAAAACGTGTGCACCTCTCGTCTTATATGCCTGTGTGTGTTGTATAATTAATTACACATTTCGTAAATTCATAATTACGCACCGTCGAGAAGCGATCGCGGCAGGAAACCATGCAAATTCTTGAACAATTAATCAATGGTAATTAGTGCTTTGGCTCTGTAGTTCCAAACTTTGACACCCGATATTTCGACTTGAATTTCACATGGTAATTAGAAGGGTCTGAGGGGATTCTGCCGTTGAACTTTAAGTTACAATTTATCGATCGCTATCAGGCTTTTGAAATATTTAATTTCCTTCAAACACCTATAGGATATATTATTATTTATGTTGTTTTAGGCAAAAAAAGGCAATTTGTATCAGGTTATTACAGCTTTCGATATACATATATATTTTGCACTCCTTCCACATATTTACACCGATTTCTTTCTCGTACCTTTTCTATATTTTACGTTGGAAGTTGGCGTAACTCCAAGTTTCAGCTTCCACATTTAAACTTTTTACATTTGGTACCCCTTTTTACAAATTTCGTGGCATTTCAGCTCGGATGTCAGCTTTGAGGCTATCGTTTTCCTTCAACTTTCATCCGTCTGGAATAACGGCGGGACGGCGAGGCCGGGAATGCGCGCGCGTGATCGTTAACGGCGATAGTCTGTCAACAAAGGTCGCCGACCAGGCGGTTGTCTCATGAGCATCTTCTAACGAATTCACCCCCCTTCCCCCTCCTTTCCCCCCTCGCCAACTGTACCACCGGCCGGTCGCGGTAAGCGACCGGCTCTGAAAAATAGACGTTAAATCAAAGCAGTCGTTACGAGGTCGAACGAAGTTTAACGGTTGCCCGCTCAAAGCCCTCGCATCGTAGGGATTCTCGTTAAGAGGCTTTCCGCTGGACTTTAACCACCCTCGCCACCACGATCGCCCCTGCACAAACATTTGTACGCGTGGGATATAGATTTTTTTACTCCGGTATCTTCTTTTATGGCGACAAAATAGATGACGGTCTTGCGGGAATCCGCGTGACATGAACGGATAACCACCTCGCGCGCTTCCTGCTCTCTTCCTTCTCTCTCTCTCTCTCTCTCTCTCTCTCTCTCTCTCTAACCATCAGGGAAAAATAAAATTATTCCGACAAGACGACGCATCCAATGTAATGTAGCCACAACCGCCATGCATGACCGGCAACATTCCGTAAGTTCTCATGGATGAAAAGTGATGCATACGATGGAAGGTACTTTTTTCCCTTGATCGTCTGCGGGCGGATCTTCAGCGCAGTGAAATGTTTGCACGTCAGAGTCGATAGGCGAAATAATGCGGGTACGACGTTGAAAAAATTTTTTGCGTCTGCAATACTTAGTTTCAATTTAAACGGTAAAATAGAATATGTGGTATTTTATGTGTATGTACATGATAACTAACAACATGGATTAATTTGTGAATATTTTTGTCTGTATATATATATATATATATATGTATATATTTACATTATACGAAAATTATACGATATCCAAGTATAGTATATCACGCTATGTATCGTATTTTAATATTTTTATTTAATAAGGTAATAATTATTTTATTGAATATAATATTTGGTTAACTATAACTATGACTGAGACACGATAATGTATCTCTCAATATTTAATTCCACCGTGCAGAAATATATTATTTTATTAAATATTTTTTTAATAAATAAAAATGGAAATTTTACATTATTAAAAATTATAAAAATTTTACATTTGTATATTGTCAAAAAAGTACAAAAATTTATGAATGTAACTAGAATTATTATGTTTGATTTCTTTCAAAAATATGTTAATAATACCTTTTCAGTTTATGTAAATTAAATTAATTGAAACTTAAAATATTCTGTATCAATCAGTTTTGAAACATTGATATATATTTATTTCCCAAAAGGAGAATTATTGATTTTTCTTTAATTATGTAGAAAACTTTTACATATAGAATCTATATTTACGTATTTTTAAATTATTCTGTATTACGCTGCATTATAAATATTTTTAATTTTCGGATTTATTTATACGCTTATGCGAAGGCTATTAATTACAGGTCATTTAGTAATTAAATTCAATTTTATAGCTGCTGGCAGCGTTTTAAAAGTGAAATATGAAACTAGGTGTTCTACTCATATTCATGCGCAGCCGAGCTCATATTGTAAGGAAGTTCGACTTCATAAAGGCCATCGTGATTTAATGCCAATTTCTCGGTGCATCTAACGGTGGTTACCTCGAGGATAGTCGATGACTTCCGATGCCGAAAACTCGTTTTAGCATCCATGATAAGGAACTGAATTTGTTATGGAAAATTGACAATAATAATTATATGATTATTGTTCTCGATCAAAACTAATATTGTAAAATATTTAAATCAATATAAGTCCAATATTATTGATAGAGTCGATTTATCTGCTTGTAAAAGGGTACAGTTATGTTAAGCTGAGGTTTAATAGGAGAGATCAAATATAATACAAATACTGCAATCACAGTGGCAAGTGCATAAATGATTGTCGATTGTCCTGGTTTAAATAAATATGAAGTTAACTGTTAAATTATATATTTATGCAACCGTAAATTTCATTAATGCATCAATAGTTGAAATTATTAAATTAACCAATTATTTCTTGCATTACAATTACGTAGTTTATTCGATTAAGCTGACATTTGTTTAAATTAGGCAAATTTAATTTCAATATTTAAACTTTTCTTTTATATATTTTGTTTATTCGACGCATTACGTACTATTATACTATGGCTTTATATTAAATCTTTTTTAACCGCAAATCCGCGTATCTGTTTATTTACAGTGAAAATTTTTGTTTGTAAGAATAGTAACCAATAATTAATTTATTTCAGAATATCCAGCAGCAGTGACGGCCGAAATAGTCGATGTTAATATGAACTCGTTGGACGGCACGACGGGAAAGCCATTAGATGTCGATCTACCACCAACTCTACCGATGACCTTCGGCACGGAAAATTCAACATCGGTTTCGGCGCAATCAGGGTCCACAGCTCTGATGCCCTGTGTTGTCCACAATCTAGGAGAGGGCACGGTAAGGGCTGTTGAAACATGTAATCCATTGATTGACGCATGTGAATTTGGTATACAAATAAATGGGTATGGACAATACACCATTATTTGTCATCCTGTGAATGTCAGTGAAATAAAGTTTTTCACATTATATGCACATTTACAGCTTTTGTAATACATTATTTTTCTAAAGTGACAAATTTTATTTGATTAATAATATAGTTTATTATACGTATATATTATATTATTAATATATATGTATGCATAATATGTATATATACATATAGTGTATATATATAATATAAAATAATTTATAGCAAATGGCTTATATCAATTTTTAAGCTAAAACATTAAATAAAATGATCAATAAAGTGTCTAATACTTTTGGCCAAGGCTACAAACACACACATGCGCGCGCGCACACACGCACGCGCTGTAAATATTGTAATTATTTAATCGGATTTAAAAATTTACATTTGTTATCTAATCTCCTAGAAAAATAAGGATTCCTTGATTTTTATCTCATTAACCCCTTAAGTGGTATGCCCAATAAAGTTTATGGTAAAGTTTATTGTTAATGTCGATATATTCCGGAGTTCCGCGTTAAGTTTCGTGCTTAATGTGGTTTATTTTAATTTTTCCTAACAAATTACAAGATTTAGTTTGCAATGTAATTTTTGAAATTTTTGTATCGTGTAATCATTTTAAAGTACCATTGAAGAGGCTAACGCTGCATGTGCTAATCGAACGATTAATAGTTTTCGGATAGCTAGAACATAACCATATGGCCACTAATATTCTGTAATTAGCACAAACGAGCTTTCTCTGTAGCTGGTATTATTATCGCGGAGCTATATCCATTAATTAGACTCGATTTTGTGATAATCAATGTCATCATACGATAGAAAATGGAATTTTCGTTTAATACATCGAATAATATAAGTATGCAACGCTAATTAATGGAAATAGATGAAATATCGTCTATTAACTAGTAGCAGTTTAATTTGATATCGTAAGTTTGAATTACAATACAGAAATAACTTCAAGATAAATTAAATACACTAACGAGAATGAAATAAGGACGAAGGTAAACGAAAGAAACGACCAAATGAGAAATTTAATTTCCCGCGAGAATTGTCGATCATTTATTTGAATATTATATGTTCTAAATTTTACTTTCCCACTTGATGCGAAAATATTGCAAAAGTACCAATCGTCAACATCGATCGGATAGCTGGGGCAATATCAGTAGCCAAGCGTCGTTCGACGATATCGGTGTAAAGTCGTGGCGACACAGAATCACAATTGGGTCAATAGTGGTGCAGAGGTAAATTCAACATCGATGTTAGAACGAACATTATTCTCGATGCTTTGCACTCGCACTGCTAACGTTATCTATCGTATATTGTTTAATATATTTTTTCCTCGAAAGTTCTTAACGCCGCGTAATTAACGAAAGAACGTCTACTGTGTCAACGACATTCAAAATTCCGTAAACCCTTTGAATAAAGTTCACCCGATAGATTGCTTCCGCCGCGCGCCATTGCACGTTCCTTTCTTAGTTGATCCCGAGACAAAGTAGCGTTACGCTTATTTGCACCTTAATTAGGTATGCAGGACGAACCGGAGCGACGGCAACGTCCTTGCAATTGTACAAAGTAAAGGCATTAGTGTCATCTAATTTCGGCACGACAAGATAACAGCGGGGGCATAAACAAGATTTTCGGTCCGGGAAATTTTCAACTTCACCGCTTCCTTTTCGCGAATCTTAATAGCGGAATGACAATTTTCTTTAGGATCGATGATAGCGCCAGACAATCTTGCTCGTCTTGTAGATAAGAAGTATAACAGCCATACAACTTTGCGGAGATATAGTGTACAAAAAATTAAACACATTTTTTTTATACCGAAATGATGTATATACCTGTATAAATTACGAATTTTGTTAATACTTGAATGTACATTTTCTATTCTTTTGTTCTTTCATATTGTAGTTTCATTTACTATATTTCTCAATTATATTTAATTATCTTTCTAATGAAAACAAGTTTTTTACCAACAATTTTAAAGAGCGTGCATTACGTGACAAGAGACACGATAGTGCATGTCTTGCGCCAAGTTTATGTCCAACGAATTTGCGTAGAACGGCGATGCGTAGACGCCTGCGGCTATATTTACGCGAACTATCTAGATAAGTTGGAGATCTCACAAATTCATATTTCAGCAACAGCTGAACCGATTGTGTGTTCTAATTAATCTTAATCGATCGAGCTGGGGTTTAAATTATAAGGTATATAAAATAAAATATTTTTAGTTTTTGGGTTTTATGAGATAATGGAGATATCGCAATGATAAATTTAAACAGATACATTTTAAGAAACATCTAGTCTATGACGTCGTTGTCAGACAAATTTGCGTGACTTTTTTATTTTCAGCTACAGCATTACTTAACAACACTCACAGCATTTAGTCTATGACAGATCTTTTGACACGTATCATTTAAAAAGTGTTAAAGGTTAATGTTATTAAAGATATATATATGTACCTTATAATATAATTTTACATATTCTATATATTTTTTACTATTTTTAAAAGAATTATATAAGTGCATTATATATACAATATATATATATATATACCTATATATATATATATACACATATACATACATATATATATAAAACGCACATTCTTTGTTAATTTAAGATAATAAATTATTCGTAATTCATGACTGAGTTTTGGGCTGCGTTCAGGAATTCACGGTATATCATTTTATCTTTGTTATTCACCGAATGTTAAACAAGAATAAAATAATATTTAGATGCACCTAGGCGAACTTTCTGAATGCAATCCTATATATATCTTGCCATTGATTGAAAAAGATTCGCTTAAATGAGTGATTATGTTTTGTAATATTTAATCTTAAGCTGCGTTCGATTTAACGCTCGCAACGCTCGCGAGCATTACTTGTCCTTGTTTACCATTTGATAAACAACAAGGATGAAATAATTTCAAGAGCGTTACGAGCGTTAAATGGAACGCACTCTTTATAGGTTTAATTTAATAGGTTTTATAGAATCTAGAGACGCTAGAAATGCTTATACACTTTTTTACAAAATATTGTCTAGAAATAATTAATTTAATATTGTTTCACATTTGACATTCATTTAAAAAACATATCACACATACACACACATACACACAAAATAATAACGAAATTTATAAGATATAACGCAACTCAATAACTAATATTGCGATAAATATTACCATAGCCTCAGTGGTCGAACAGATAAGACACTCGTTCCGGATAGAATTGGGAGGTTCTAGATTCGAATCCTGGCTGAGGTAACAGCATAATCATCGAATTGACGATCAATTTAACTTGTGATAATATTTCAGTTTTATGATTGCGTTCTTAAAGACCGACAGTAATCGGTTAGGCGCAGTTTACAACAGCTGAAAGATGTAAAAATTAAGAATATCATTGGACAACCGACATCTAGCCTCGACTGAATTTGGCTCTTTCCTTCTGAAAATTGTTTTATTTTTGGCTTAGTTTTCGATAAAAACGAGTTTAAAAATCCGCTAAGTACGCATGCTATTACGGCTAACATACGACTGTCGAGCAACGTATATCGCCTATCGTGTTGATAAACAACGCTCTACTGTGCCGAACAATTAGTTTTCGTTCAAATATCACGACGATGAATTACACGAACAGGGAGTATGTCGATATGATCCGGGCTTTGGGAGCCTCTAATAGTATTATCTGCTATTGTTCGCTATTACAGAGAGCGATATCCTAATCGGTGTGTTTTCGATCGAAAACTAATTCAAAGAGCGAAGTCTTGTAGAACATGGATCTTTTGCACCGTGGAAATTTTGTAATTAATAGAATAAAATTTTGTTTATTAAAAATTTTCTTTGTGCTTTTTTCTTTAACTCAGTAGCTTTTAAATGCCGTGTGTGGACATTGTTTATATAAACACAATACGTCGCTCAACAAACCGTACCTTAGTTGTAACAGCATGCGTACATAGCGGATTTTCAAACTCGATTTTTTCGAAAAATAAACCAAAAATAAAAACATTTTATTCTATGCTTTTTTTCTTATTATTTTTATAAAAAAATCATGTCGTGCCCGCTTGTATATTTTATTTGGCCGGATCTTGTGCACATACTATATAGTATATCAGCAAATTCAAAGTGGCTCATATTTTTAATTATATAGAATGCTAGAAAAAGTTTCAAATATAGCTTATCGTCAATATATTTTTTTGTTAATGTTACTTAAAAAAATATAATTTCTGACCACACAAAATTATTTCTTTAAAAAAGATAAAGAACGGCGTCAAGTATACGTTCCTCCCTTCTCCAACAAAAGATTTGATATAAAAGCTTAGTGCTAATTTATTGTGACAGTAAAATCAAATATAGTTATTATATTTATGTCTATATATATTATTAAAAAAATCTAATGTGTAAAATAATATGATGATAATATGATATGTTTTGTTACATTTAAAAAAAATATTTTTATTGACATTTCAAAAATATTTCTATTCAATATTATTACACAATACAAATGCGCTATTCTGTCGCGGATTCCATTGGAAATTTTAAATTGTATAAAACTGTGTAAAAATTGTATAAAATCAAAGTGACATACAAAAACTTGGCGCGTCCGAGTCACATTAAAACACATATATATCCATTACATACATTGTAATATACGTTGTCACAATATTACTTATATTATATATGCCTTGCATTAATTATATAAATATAATAAATAAAAATATATTTAATAAAGTAAAGTAACGATATTATTTAAAAAAATTATTATATTATTTTTTAGAAATAAATTTTTTAGACACAATGAATAAGATGAGCCAATGCAACGGTTATATCAGGATGTTGGTGCTACATTTTTATTATGTGATTTTACATACGTATCCTAGCTTCGACTAAACTGCGTGCTGTTACTTTCCGGATTCAACGCAACCCCCCATGATTGAAACAGGACCGTATTATCACGTAAGAACTTGATGCTAACTTGCATTTAATAAATCCCCCCCTCCCCCGCG